CTTTCCAACCCTTGATAACTACTAGTATATAATTAAGATATAATTGGAATTTTTGTTAATTATCTAAAAGAATGAATCATTCTAATAAACTTTATATTGTAAAAAATATTATAAGCACATTAAAATGTTACAAATGAAAACATACTGCACAAAAAGGTAGTAGATAAGTTAGTTAGTTACATTGATTTTTTTGTTGTTGTTGCATGCATTATTATTACTATATTTGTTTAAGTTAAATTAAAAATAAATTTTATCAAAAAAAAATAATATTTTGTTATGTAATTCTATTTTGTGTTTTTCCTTTTTTAAAAACACAAAGAATAATTTTTCTTTTAAGGGTTTTAATACAACTTTCTTCTTTTCAATAATCAGGTCATTTTTTTTTCATATTTGATTGATCATATGATGATTCTGTTGGGTGAATAATGCCAAACACTTTGTAAATTAGTGTTAAGTTAATATTTTTTTTAAGAAAAAAAAAACTATTTTCTTTGTTATTATAGTAAATTTTTAATATGAACCATTAAGTTGAAATAAGTGTTAAGTCAAAGTTAATTATAGCTATATAATACTGATTAAATACTTGTGACTTAATAGAAAAAGAATATCAAGGTAATCCCACATATGACAAAATAGACTGAAAAACTGCAGTCCTTAATATTAACAAAATAAATAATAAAATCTAGCTCCGCTGCACAACTCACTAGCCAATTGTATAACAAGAAAGACGTCTAGAATAAAATGTATTGAGTTCGGATATTGATGTGAGCTTCAAGAGGACTGTAAGTGCATCGAGTTAACAAGTTGAAACGATTAACATGACTTTTATGCATGAACCACTATTTATCTTAACTTAAATATATCAAGATATTTATCTTTAGTCACTATTTATGATGAAGTGGTATAAGCTGATGAATTATTGAGGAATATGACGCACTTCATTCAAGAACAGAAGCCCTTTAGTAGTTCGCCACATGTTATAATTTTTATATGGCTCTGTAGTGCCTCCACATAAATTTGAGTTCGCTCATATTTAATTTGATTGAGTCTTTTGATTAACTGATTTAACCAACCCATTAGTATAGCAACAACTTATATGTACTATTGGCTTTTACTATTGTCTGGTTTGTATGAGCTGATATGGCCTGAACATTGCTTACCGCATTCGCGAATATTCATCGTATTCGCTTTATTGTTAATCTCTTAAATATTTCGATGACTCAGCCATTTTCATATGTATTATTTATATGTACATTTTAATCTTAATGACTCGTTCGCCAATTCGCTCAATCGCTAGCGTGCTTAACCTTCTCTGTATGCTTGTGGTCTGATGGTCCATTTATGTTGTGCCAAAATAAACGTATTCAACACTTCGTATTCGCCTTCTTATTTAAAAACCGTCAGGCGCTATTTAGTAACGATTGTATGGACGAGCAAATTACGAAGTCTAAGAACACGATGGATACCGAACGTCAAGAAACTAGTAATACAATGGCCACTATAACTCTACCCAAGGAGTTGAAAAGCTTCAATAGTTACTGACTTAAAATAATAACTTTTGTCATAAATATTCTTCTGAAACCGGACAAAATATGAAAAATAACTGATATTCTAACAGCTGAGATTATATACATAAAGGATATGAAAATTAACAAGACTGGCGCATGAGAATAAATTCACTTCGGGAAAGTTATCATGATCATACAATCATAACTGCGACTTGACCATAATATTACATACATACTAATGGTACTGAATGCAATTCAACTTCTAAAAAATATAGTTCAGTAAAAGCAGTCACTAAATATTTTACAACAATAACTCGATGTGTTGAGCAGTACTGTATTTAAAAGTACCATAGATATAACTCCTTTCAAGATGATCAACGCTGTGTTAATGAGATAACATGGATTGGTATGTCACTCTAATGTTGGATACAGAATAAAATAACAAATTGACTGGTTGAGGGTTTTGTTACAGTATTAGGCAGTTATGAAGTAGATGAATTCCCGAAAATTTGACACATATTTTAGTCAAAATGTGGAAAGAGTGATGTTAAGATGTAAGTTGGTATGGTAATAAGTCGCTATATAAGGATTATTTGTTATTTTCGAATTGTTGTGCACTGTTTTCTCTCTTTAGTGATCACTTCAAGATAAAAATGAGATATTTTCAACGAAAGTCATATAATACATGCCACTAAATATCGAAGCAGCATCCACGGACCTCCCAATTAACATTGGCGCACCTACGATTGAGGAGATCAGTATGGCCATCAGACAAATCAAGAGCGGCAAAGCAGCAGGACCAGACAACATTCCAGCAGAGGCAATGAAAGCAAATGTGGAAGCAACTGCGAAAATATTTCACATTCTCTTCAACAAGTTTTGGGATGAGGAACAAGTACCATCAGATTGGAAAGAAGGATACCTGATCAAAATACCGAAGAATGGCGATCTCAGCAAGTGTGAGAACTACAGAGGCATCACTCTTCTTTCAATACCAGGTAAAGTCTTCAACATCGTATTCTTAAACAGGATGAAGGACATCGTAGACGCCTAACTTCGAGATCAACAGGCTGGATTTCGTAAGGATCGATCGTGTACTGACCGAATTGCTACATTACGGATCATTGTGGAACAATCAATTGAATGGAACTCATCACTCTACATCAACTTCATCGACTACGAGAAAGCATTCGATAGCGTGGACAGGAAAACACTGTGGGGGCTTTTTCAACACTACGGTGTGCCTGAGAAGATAGTTAACATCATACGGAATTCTTATGATGGATTCAACTGCGAAATCGTACACGGAGGTCAGCTGACAGACTCTTTCGAGGTGAAGACCGGTGTCAGGCAAGGTTGCTTACTCTCACCCTTTCTCTTTCTCCTGGTCATCGACTGGATTATGAAGACGTCGACATCTGGAGGGAAGCACAGTATCAACTGGACAGCAAGGACACAGCTGTACGATCTGGACTTCACAGATGACCTGGCTCTTCTATCTCCCACGCAACAACAAATGCAAGAGAAGACGATCAGTGTAGCAGCAGCCTCAGCGGCAGCAGTAGGTCTCAACATACATAAAGGAAAAAGCAAAATTCTCCGATGCCACACAACATGCACCAACCAAATCACTCTCGATGAAGATGCCTTGGAGGACGTTAACACCTTCACATATCTTGGCGGCATCATCGACAATCAAGGTGGATCCGATCCAGATGTGAGGGCGCGGATCAGCCATGCAAGGGCTGCATTTCTACAATTGAAAAATATCTGGAACTCTAAACAAATATCAATCAACACCAAAGTTACAATTTTCAATACAAATGTCAAGACAGTTCTACTGTATGGAGCGTCACAAGACAAGCCCTCACATGGAAGCCTGAAGGTCAAAGGAAAAGAAGAAGGCCGAGGAACACGTTACGCCGAAAAATAGAGAAAACATATGAGAAGAATGGACAAAAATTGGGCAGAATTGGAAAGGGAAGCCGATGACAGATTTGCTAGGAGAAAACTGGTCGGTGGCCTATGCTCCATAGGGAGTAACAGGCGTAAGTAATATATATATATTCAAAAATAAAAGTATTAGTTAAATAGTGACTGAAATAATTGTTATTAAGATATTCCTTTACAAAATTATTAGGACTGAAACACTGTTCGCTTTGCATTGTCGATTCAGCTTATAGAACTCAATATATATTATAAGTAAATATAAATCACTTTTGAAATTATAATCCCATATTTTTTTGATACATGTTTAGTTAAGTCACTGTGTAATTAATTTTTGAATTAAACACTTGATTATTTACGATAATAAAACAAAGTAACATCAAACGACAATTAGAATATCAGTTGATTCGATAAAGTGAATCACTCTTTATTTTATACTTTATTTTAAAAATGCACATAAAATTTAAAAATTCTAAAGTTAAATTTATACCCTAATATAAAATATAGTATTTTTCACAAAAATCGATATCATGGAATTGGCATAATGCAGTCAAACAATGTTAAATTATCAATGTCAACATTTTGTGTAATTACTTAATAATTCATAAATATTCATACTCAATAAATTATTCAAACGATTCCAATGACTCATTACAAAAGCATTAGTTGTATGATAAAATTGAAATTCTGAGTTTTTTTTTTGAACACATTGAATGTTGAATTAAGAGAGTTAGTTATATTATCATTAAAGAATTTACCATCATCCTATTGTTTAGTCTATAGTATAAATCAATTAAAATAATTGACTGGAATTTTTTGTTTTAAAGAAATATTTCATTAAATCAGTTCTAATACAAAAAAGTTTACATTTACATATATAATTTTATACTCTACAATAAAATAATTTGAAATACTCAATCTGAGGAACACAAAAATCTAGTTATCCATTTAATATTAAATTCTCGAATACAAATATTTTGACATGTATGTCAAAAAAGAAGAGCATATCGTTCGTGTTTATATTAATAATATTATTCTATCTACAACTAGGTAAAGTTAAAAAAAAGATTATTAGTGTTCATTAGGATACACTTTTTATCAAATAACTAGTAACCATATTCATCCAAAGTATTTACAAATAAAATTTATGAAAAAGCTTTCATACAATCTCTGATGCTTAAGATATATGATGTGTACAATGAAAGAGAATTCTAAATTTCAATGAGATAACTTGTATGAGTGTTGTTTAGTTTTCCAATAGATGCTATTGACCAGCTAATGTCGATTAAGGTGTGATGACTTAAAACATCTCTTTAGTTTAATTTCATTATTTTTAATAATGTAATCATTATTAAGAACAAAATTTTTTTACAAATTATGATATATATGCAATAAAATCAATGCATATATTATTATTATTATTACATACGGGTAACAGGTAAGAAAATTCTATCAGAAAAAAAGAATGCCAAGGAAAGTAACAATAACAACAACTGTATTTAAACAAATAATCAAGAATGAAAATTATTTTTATATATATATATATATATATATATATATATATATATCTGAAAAACGGCTGTATCGGTAAAAATTTTTGATTGTTGGTCAATAATACTATTACATAAATCAAAGAAAATTATAATCATAAACAGAACTGCCTTCATTTTTCCATAAGGCAAAGTGATAAGATAACGCATTAAACTGAACTGATAAACAAATGTAAATGAAAACTAGATACTGTGGAAAATTTTTTTTTTGAATTTTATTTAGGACACCATACGATATTATAAATGAGTATGTGTACAGAAGAAATAAAATCGATATAAAGAGAAAAACATGATGTACAACAAATTCAGCAATTCAGTTAATCTGTAATTTAATATAAAACAATATAAGCATAAGAATCATGGAAAATCAAACGATTATCAAATAATATACATATATATATGTATATAATATTCTGAAGTGAATAAATTAATAAAATAGAAGGCAATCAAAAGGAAATTAATAACTAAAACAATGTGTTACAACACAATTGATAGGAAATTCAATAGGAGGAAATGTTTGTTAAAGGATATGTGTTCTGGGACGACGTCCCATAGGACCTTGTGGTTTTTGAAATGTAAGTTGTTTTTCTTCATGTTTAGGATATAATATATCCATGAAATACTGTGCGGTCAATTCATTAGTTTCATCAATTTCAAACTATAGAGAAAAAGAAAAAGTAATAATACATAATGCATGAATTCTGAGTAGTGTATAAAATAATTCATACGATAAACGCAAATAAAATGACTTATTTCAATAGACATATATTATTATTTTAATAGAATATCATTAAACTATGATATTTTTCACTTTAATATTTACAAGCTGAAGGCAATCATGCTGTAAAACATTCAAAATGCAACGGTACAATAACTACGGTAGTGTATGCTGAATATCAGTTAAAAAAGTTTTGAAACAATATTTCAAAATCGATAGACAATCCATGGAACATTGTTTGTGTACGCCTAGTAACGAATTTTGATGTCATTTCAATAGGAGCGTAAACATAAACATTAGACAACCTTGTCTGTCTGTTCTTGAAACACCCAGTCGATACAATGAAATTATGGAATATATCACAGGAAAACAGTGACAAGTTATCTTAACGAAAACTGTAAAATCTATACTAACCAATATACTTGTTAAATGATTTGTTTTAAACAATCAATTGTATCAAGTGAATTGCTACATTATTTGGCAAAAATATAGAATAAATTATAAGAATACAAAGTACAAACCAGCTATTGGTTTAAAATATGCAGAAAATGTATGTGTTTATAAGTTCCAAGTGAAACTTTTAGCTTTGTTATGAAAAACATGAGTGCCTACTTCATATATATATGTTGGTTGACTGAAGTTACTACAGAAGTAGGAATTTATACCTAGAAATAAAAAATAAGGTATTTTCAACTTTTCCTAACAAATTGATGCGCTATCCCTACTACTTTCTTTCAACGATCTGTCGATATGAAGTGTTTTTCCTAATGGGGTACACTATTCAACCATTCAATAAATCTATAATAAGAAAATAATTTTGTGTACTATTAACTATGTACACAATCAATATTTTGTTTACGCTTTACATTGCATTACTTGAGGAACGACCAATCAGACAGTAAACAATAAACGAGAATTTAACATATTCGAAATATGAATGTGTTGGGGATGTTAGATCCCCATAACTCGCTTGATAAATGATTTATTTTGGATTTCACGTTTGCGATCATGGACTGATCAGTTGACCTTGAGATTTCATTTCCCACCAGAAAAATCCACGGCTGTGATTGTCTGCTGTGTATTTTAGTGTGCTATTTTCGTAACTGTCCAAAGGACGTTTCTATGATGTGCTTGAATGTATTGTGATTGCTAGATGTTTGTAGAATATACTTTCTACGCTTACAAAGCCTTCTATCTTTAGCTTGGGATTCAAGGTAGCCTATCTGGACGCTGGTAATTGTCTCGTTCGCATTTATCGACTAAGGTGAACTCGTAATAGCTTCAAGCGTACCTAGTGACGAGCGTAACAGAATGTCTCTTAAGATAAATCATTCTGACCAAAACTATCTCTGATTGAGTAATTGATGGTAGGTCTTGACAGGATAATTGTGTAATAGCTATAAAGAGTAACTTATTCAGTTTTACACAAAGAGGATATAACCATCATTATTGTTGTAGGAAAAAATAAAAATTTACTCAGAATAATTGATTTCTTAATATACATTTAATACTTTAATAGAATACATATTTATAATAGATAGTTTGACCAAAGTAGAGGTAATTCATCTGCTTGAACTAATCATTTTCTTAGTAGGCAAAGCATAAAAAACAGTGCATTAAACCAACACTCAATTCAGTATTTGATCAGTTACAAAAAAAAATCAACACTGTCGTTTGCAAACAACAACAATAATAATGATGATTATTTAAATGTATAAATATTACATGTTAACACTTTATTTGATGAATGTAGACAATGAGATTTCTAAAAAAAAATCTCATTAGAGTGCATGAAAGAAGAAACTATAGACAAATGTTAGTGTTCGTAAATTTTCAATTATAGAGCAACAATTAAAATTATAGTCAGAAGTTTGTTAAAACAATAAATAGATATTTGAAATTTAAACTGCTTATTGTACAACAAAAAAAACGAAACATTCAATATTCATAGACAGAGAGACTATTTAAAGGGCATGAATAATCATTAATATATCTAAATAATTAACCATCTTCATTCATAGTAACAACCGAAACTGATAGCTTACACAAACAATAAAATTGATTCTCTAATCAGTTATAACTACATTCTTTTTTTCCCTCCTTACTGTCAATCTTATGGTGACTGCTGATAAAGTTGTGTAAAATTTACATATAGTAAACCAATACATAATGAATAATTCCTCTAATAAAAAATAAGTCCAATAGATATGTTCATTTGCAACATTAGATGTAGGTGGAAATACGATTAAAATGTGGATATAAGAACAACAACTCCAGTATTTCCGTAAAAATGAACACAAGAAAACGGACTAAATGTATTCCGTTACCATGGAATCTAAATAAATAAATGTCTTTGTACTATAATTAGATTCTAATATAAATTTTTAAAGTACATTCCTACATTCTGGAAAAAATAATAACAATAATTGACATCAGGTAAACACACAAAGAAAGACGAAATGCATACAGTTGAATACATTAGTAAAACAAACTAATTCACTGTTTATTAAGGTAAGTAAGTAGACAGATTTCATGCAACACGCCCAAGTTGAGTAATACTAAAAAAAAGTTAAAGATACAACTCAGACATTTCTTTTATGGGAAATTCATCTCAAATGATGAAGTCAGTTATAAAGGTATGTGTATTGAAGAAAGAGAATTTTAAAAGAAAAAATTATTAAGTATTATTCATAAACTATACTTAATTTACGATATGTATATATAAACTAAAGAATAACTTGTGTACGTAAACGTGATACATATGTATACTTAGTTGATAGTATAACAAGTTGTATTGCACTGAAAATTGAAAACAATTTTTAGTGAAGAGAGTTTAATGTTGTTATATTGTACTCATTAAAGCTTTTTTCTTTAAGTGTTATATATCATTTGTTTATGAAATACAAATTAACTTATTATATTGTTGCCTTTTCAATGATAAATAAGATATATTACTGGAAATCTGTTCTACTAAAACAATTAAGATAAGATGCAAATGAAACATACTTTTAAAGAAATACAATGAAGATATGCATAAGCAATTATAATATAATCAGACAAATTTTTCTTGTATGATACAGTTTCTGAAACTAAAATAAATCGTTATGTTGAGAAAACAATGAAAGAAATGAGTTTGATTACTAAGTTTTCATAACTCATCAGTTGTAATTGGCCAGATCATAATAAGTGCTGTTAAGAAAGAATTTTACTCAGACAATGTTGGATAAGAATTTCATAATCTAGTATATTTTTACTATAAATGTGTATGAGAATTGTCGACGAGTTAGTCTTAGTTAAATAAACATTGGAAACCAAGAGGTATTGAACAACGGTTTCATCTTAATAAGGAACTCCCCAACAATGTGCATCCACGACCCCACCAAGGAAACCACTGGATTCTGGCTCAGTTGTCTAAAGGGTAGATGCTCACCGAGATACCTGACAACACCAAACTTGACTCTCGTTGGGATAATGAACTCACACTGCCAAGAAGTCGCATACTAGGACGAAAAAACAGACCAGTGCTTCCTGTTTTCCAATGATTTTTTTAAATAAGATTAGTGTGCACTATTAAAAAAAATCAAAATTTAGCATATACTAGAAAGTAAGGTTAGCAAGTGTTATTATTAAGTGTTATTAACACACTTTGTCAACTAGACTAACAGGAAGTAGATATCGCCTAAATTTTGTTGCAACCGAATTGGTTTGCACCAAAACCACTAATGATACAGCGTTCATGCAACAAAAAACTCAGCCACATGTGAACAATGTTGAAACAAATATTTAAGTTGACAAATGGTTTGAACCTTATTAATTAATTGAGACTAAATAACGTTCTTAATATAATTGGTATATCTCTAGTGATATAATCCAGAATGCGATATCAAAGTGATCTGATCAGAATGAACACACGGCAACAAAAACTGAACCATCGCAGTACTAAATACAAACGAGTAACCAATTAACAACTTGCTTAATAACGTATTTAAATTATGAAAGTAACGGAAAGATATCATCATTAATTGTCGGTTTTCATTTCTTTATATTTCACTCTGATAGTCGTTAAAAAATGAATCAAATTATTAAGGAGAATAGTGCTTCATTGGCATGGAGGAAACAACATAATTGGTCATATCGTTCAGATGATGTCATCGACAAATGAGCGAAATTGAATCAAAGAAGTGTTTATTAGAATCAGATTAAAAATAGATGCTACATCAATGAATTTTGTTGAGCATTAATCTGATTTCCATAGAAAAACATACTACGCTTGAGAGGTAAAGCATATAATTGGGAAACTTTCCTTAAACAAATTAATAATTTTGTTGAATTATACTAATATTAGGGATTCATATATTAAAAAAAGTGGTTGATAAATGTGTTATGCTTACGCTAATTAATGTATGACTTGATATAGACGAACGGAATGATAACCAGTGACACGATAACAGGACAGTTAAGCTATTCTCTGCGGTCCAGACAAGCTAACTAAAGCAAGAAGTTTGATGTTAGCAGGAAGATCGTATCATCCAAAGGCAAACGCAAGCGAGCGAATAAGCAAGCATTCAATTCAAGCACAATACGGTACAAAATGTTTCCCTGGAATGGTTAAAAAATAGCAGGCTAAAAGCGAAAATTGTCCAATGAGGTTTAAGGTACTTTCAAGAAGGAAACACAAACTTAAGGTATCAAGGGAGGGAGCTCTTGGAGGGGAAATAAGAAATTTGGAACTCCTTAAATTGCAAAATTAGGAGGTTTGCCAAGCGTTTTATGGGGATTTATTATTCACAACAGTGCTGACCAGACAGATTACAGTTTCTATTTCCAAACATAAAAACAACCAGTATCAACCAAATTTACTAAAATTAAGAAACTTATTGGACAGGAATGCATACAAAGACTGAAATCGAAGTGTGCAAAGAAAGTAACTTTGAGAAGAAAATTTAAAGCGAGGAGAAAAGCATGCTACAAAAAAGAAACAGAACTGATTCATTTACATAATCACAAATCATATAAACAAGTAAATATGAAGTGTGAATTCTCGCCATCTAAACGGGCAAACTTACACACCTGTAAACGCTAAAATAACAATTACGTATATATTTTTTAGGAGGAAAATGCATAAAATAAAAGATAAAAATAGAGTACATTTGCACCATTTTCAGAGATATCAACTAGTCTCCATAATCTCGGGAACGACATCAAGAAACTTTACACCTTCCTACGTTTCTCGAACAAACAATCAGTGACGTCATGAACTCATGAAGCACCACCTTATTTAATAGCCCACTTAATTTTACAACTAGCTTCATAAAATGAAGTAAACGCTGATATAAAATGTATAACAAATGATCAAAGGGACTAAAATTGTATGGATGCATACCCTTACTAACTGACATAATTGCAATGTTTAGTACCCTAAGCCTAACTTTAAGTGTACATGTAACCAGTGCTTCAGAAACATGTACTCGTATTTAGATTTTCAATAGTAATTTTAGGTGATCTTGAACATGCAGGTACAGTTTTGAGTTTTAAAGCCGAAAATGAACGCATGGATACAATCTCATTTACAAATCATCAGCACAGCTTTCGTCTGAATGGCACAATGAAAATACAAAACGATTAAGAGATATGCACTATTAACTAATTATACTCTATAATTAACCTCGCAATAACTTCAATCAAGATGAGCTCTACTAAAAGCTATGTGATCTTTATGAAATTGAACACTAAGATGTGATTATAAGGAGTTATCTTAAGCAGCAAGTAGACTGAATAAGCCAAGACATATCATTCCTGAAAACAAATAAGGATGACTGCTTGCTGGAACTACATTTTGAAGACCTTTAATTCTTAGTAAGTACTAACTGGCCTATTACGACACCTAGTTTAACAGTGAGAAGTATTGAAGTTATTCGACCACTGTAAATATTTCAGGGGTTCCATAAACCCAGATAACTCCGCTTGAAGTCCTATAGGATTGTTGACAGTCCCCAACCCGAGTGAAAGAGTAGTTTTGGGAATAGAGTTAGAAACTCAATTACACAAAAAAAAATATCGCTGCGAAAAGGTAACGAGAGTAAACTAAACTTATTGGACAGAAAAAAGTAATATTAGGAGTTATATTGTACTCTGGCAATGAAGAAGAAAATACAACCTCCCACATACATAAGGAGTTGTACTGAGACTGTCCAAAGTACAAAAATCTCCGACCGTAGCTGCTACCTTTACGAGGTGGCCTATTGTGATGACCCAACCGAGTTACGTTGGATGAAAATTATGTTCCTGTAGGTTTTACCATGCCAGGCAGGTCGATTGCAGAACGATGAGACTAAAAGCAGCTACTCAAGGTCTGAGGACGAAGTCGTACTGCTGACTGCAGAGAGATGTGAGACAGAAGTAAGGTGTTTCCATCGGACAACCAGCATGCTGCCTTCACACTGTGATTGGTATCGTTTGAATGAACTAAAAATGAGGTAGCTAGCAGCATTCTGCCACAATGTAGGAATGATAAGCGAAATCGCCTATAGACTATTTAGGAAAGAAAGTATATAAACTTCTCTAGGTTTTAATCTTGACATGTTATCACATTTCACAACAGAACGTAGTCTAAAAAATGGTAATATGTCCCAAAATTATCTAACCACTTTGAAATACAATAAAGCGGTGTACTTTGTGTCGAATAGGTTGGATACTAATACATACATACATACTAATACATACAAGATAAACTGGCTATTCAAAGACACATCTTTACTTGTGTATTCATTCACAGCTTGATATTAAGGTAATGTCTATTGAAGTAGAAAATACCGCACATTATAGGACAACCAAGTACCAGTATAATGCAATTAGTTATTTAAAATAAACTATAGCTTTCCAGACTATTACTACATAGTATATAAAGTCTAAAATGTAGTTATGCTATATTGGCTAGCATAATTTTCATATATTGGAATGGCCTACAATTACTGCGATTCGTGAATTATTTGAAGGTCTATCTTAATAATAAATGAGATCTGAGCTTTAGGAAGAAGCTTGATGACTATGCCCCACAATGCATAAACAATGGTAATCTCCAACGAGACTACATAGAGGTAAGAATTCAAGCAAAGCCTGGTACTTCAATTTGAAAATGTGGCAACAAAAAAGCAAACAAAGAGCAAAAGTATCTGTTGAATCTGTTAAGTGTGAATTCTAGTCACTATAACTGTTTTGAACTTTTGTCCAGTGTGACGGTTATGTCGTTTGTATTATTCTGTGTGAACTTCGTGTGTTTTGTAATAAACCTGTGTATCTTTTTTATTTATATGATGCCTACTAACTAATTAATTATGTGGAAAATCAGTTTACAAATAAGTATATCTGTTTGAACGTGTTTTGGGGAATTAATTAATTTTCATTTTTACTCAATAGTTATCGATTATAGGTAACAGAACCGCGGACATAACAGAAGTGAAACAAGCATAATAGTGGCGATGGAGTCAATTTATAAATTTCCAGTTTTCATTATATCTGTCTGGTCACAGTTAGAAATCACATAAAAATTCTCCTTACTCATTGGGGTACCTATTTTTAGTGTGATTTTACCCGTTGAAATTTTAGCAGTACGATAGTGCCATTAAACTGATAGATAGATACAGGAACAACTACTGTTACATCTAAAGAAATCAAAAGTATGGAAAAATCTATTAAGCTACTAGATAGTTCGAATAACATGTTTATACTATATATATATATATATATATAAACTAAAAAAGGAATTTTCGGTTCACTCATATGTACAGAATTTACTACATAATTTTAAGGGAAAGTAAGGGTTGAAATCACATAACAATTATATAAAGTAAATGATTAAAATTATATCTTACTCTGTGATCAAAGGTTATTTTAAATTCGCGGTCCAGACGAGTCAGTAAAGCTGCCTTGCAACTAGAATACAACATTCGAGTTTTTACTGAGCTTTGATTACCAGATATTGTGTGGATAAAAACTGAAACAAAATAGTGAATATAGAATTTTCTGGAAGAGAAAAGTCATTAATAATAACTGCAATTATAAAACAGATAGGTCAGAATATCTATATGATAATATCGTACACTAATTCCACTCGAGTCTCAATAGCACTGACTGAATTATCATGTCGAAACGGTTTAGAATTTAATTATTGTCGCTTATCAATTAACAATAAGTCGTTGACTATCAGTAATTACGTTTACAAACTAGATGTCCTGTTAGCTATGTCCTAATCTAGTGACGATTGTTGATTAAAATCTACCTTATCAGCGAACGGAATCTTACGTATGATGAACGTGAATGAGGGTTTTTAATGTACATAAATAAACTAAAATGACCGGTCAGTAGGATGTTTTGTCAAGTTGTGCTTACTTGCTTCATATGCTGACAGAAATAGTAACGTATCAGCGTTTAAATCTGTTGATTTATGTCTGACTGTATTGCAGACAGTTAGGTACCTCAGCTAATACCACTTTTAGCCTTTACTTATCAGTTCCAGCAAAACCGTACCTCAAAAAGGGTTGAAATAAGTATGGTTGGTCGACACTACAGTAAAATTATAGCCATTTAATCTATCAGGTGTTATTTCCTGATATCTCAACTTCTAGAAAGAGGATACTAATTTAAGAACATGTTTGTATCCGAAACAACTCTAAAAACTAAGATACTGTAATGAATATATAGAAAACCAGTTTTATAGATCACTGATTAGATAAGAATGAAATTATGCATTTCGGGATACATCAGAGATAACAAGGTTAACGGAAATTCCTCAAGGAGTTCTAATAAAGGATTGTACACATAAAATAATAGAAAATGTAAGATAAACTTACAGGTAGCAGAACGTTGTTCACCTTCAAACACATAACGGAAGCGAAAAAGATGATAACGAGACTCTTTTTCGGGACAAAGGTTTGCTATTTCTGCTGGCTTAATACGTTTACAAGCCTGGCACACTTTGATAGTTTCATTATGAACATCACACATCTGTCAAAAATTACAAACGATACAGGTTATCATGCAACACAAAACTTGGTCGTCGAACTACTCTAAACAGAATTTTCAAATCTATTATCGTAACGGATTTAGATATGCATATAAGGTATCGAAATTTCAAATTCCTCATGGTGATCGTATTCGAATTTCGAAGCA